TTGTCGATGCATTCACCTCCGCTTCCTCCCTACCGCCGCGCGACTGACAATTGCTCTCACGCTCCTCCGGTTCCGAGATACTCTTCACCGCGTTATCATGAATCGTTTCATCGATCTCGATACCGAACCCTGGTATAAATTTGTCCTTCTTCTTTTCCGTTTTTCCTGATTGAATACTTCCACTTCCAACCACGGGAGGGGGCGTCATCGACGGCATCGTCGTCACGTTGGACACGACCTTCGGAATGGGACTGAGCAAGGTGTCCCTGGGCGTAGGTAAGGTAGGCGACATCGTTTTCGATACAAGCGGGCTACTTGCCCTCGGAGGGCTGGGATCAGCTCCCAAATAAGGCAATTCGCCGCTCTTCTCGTGATGATGGTGATGATGATGGTGATGATGATGGTAATCCTTCCGGCTGCGCTCTTCCTTCGACTTTTTCCTCTTCTTTTTCTTCTCTTTCACCTTCTCCGGAATAGCGGACGGCGTGGACGGTTCCACGCTGTCGTTATCGTCGGNAACCGGAACACATCGTGGTCGTTGCTCTCCGTACAAGCCACGCCCGATTTCGGCGAGTTGGGCAGGCCTAAAAGCTTCGCCTCGATCTCACGCCCCGCCTCCGCCAAGTCCACGCTGTTCTCGTCCTCCGGTTGGTGGCGACGCTGCTTCTTCTCCGCCTTCCGTCTGGCTCGCTCCACGTCCAGCCCAGGGCTGTGGCCACCGTCGCTGTCCGAGGCGTACGCGTTGTTACCCAACCGATTGAAAAGAGCATTGTTGGACGGGCCGTCGTCCACGTCGTCCGACAACGGGCCGAATATATCCTCCATACGTTGCGAATCTCTAGCCTCCTGCCTGTTCAACCTCTTCCTCCTCGCTTTGGCTTTGTCGTCGCCGTTCCTGTCCCTCCTCTTGTCCTTCTTGTTCCGTTGTTTCTTGTCCGATCTTATCCTCTCCTCCGTGTTCTCGAGCGTAGTCGTAGCGGACGTCGCGGTCGTGGACACGTTGATGGACTCGGACGTGTGATTAGGTCGACAATCCGCGTTGCCACTCGCCACGGTGTTCGACTTGTTCTTGTGCTCGACCACGACGGTTTCCGACGACTCGGTTTTCAGGCTGTTCTCCTCGTTCGATATCGAGTTCTTTTGCCGCTTTTGCTTCTTCTTGTGCGACTTTTTACGGGAGTCGCGCTCGTGATTGTTGACCACGATCGCCGGATGATTGCCACGGAAAGGAACGGGAACTCTTTCGTCGTCGTCCGACGTACGAGGCTCTTCCTTCGCGTTCGAGTGAACGCTGTTCACTACCACGCTGTTCGTCGTTTCGAGAGAATTGTGTTTCTCCTCCGTGTCGGCGAATCCGAGGTCGACGTCGCTCTCCAAGAACCTCTCGGTCTTCACCACCTTTCGAATCTTGTTGTTGAACGACGACTCCTCCTCCTCGCTGGTGTCCGAGTGAATTCGAGATCTGGAACTCTTCCTCGACAAAGACTTGGCCCTGGCCGAGTCGGACTCGGAGGTTGCCTCGTCCTCCGTCAAAGCCTTGCTCGACACCGAGTCGCCGTCCCACGAGGTGCTCTGCTTCTTCTCCTCCCTCCTCGCTCGACTCTGTTTCAACTGCGAGAACTTGTCCTTCAGTCGTACCTGCCGCTTCTCCTCCTCCAGTTTCTGCATGTTCTTCGTCGAGCGCGCCTTCACTTTGTCGTACATGCTGATGTAGGCAGGCTCGTCGTCGACTATGTCGAAAATCGAGTGTTTCTTCGGCTCGTCGCTGTCCGTGTCTGTGGTGGCGGATGGATGTCTGGCCACCTGGATGTCGTGAGTCGATAAAGGGCCATCGTCCACGTCGCTGTGCAGATTCATGGAAGACTGTTGTTGCTGTTGTTGTTGTTGCTGCTGTTGCTGCTGCTGCTGCTGTTGCTGCTGCTGCATTTCTCGCGAATGATTCGTAGTCTGCTCACTCGGCGAGTTGGAATCATTGCGCTTCGAGATGTCCAGTCTCGCTAGGAACTCTTTATNTCGTGAGACACCCTCGGGCTTCGTTCCCTCGACTCCTTCTCCGAACGATTCCTCTTGCTTCGTTGTTTCTCTTTACTCGTCTCTCGGTTGTTCTCCCGTTGATTCTCTCTGTTGTTCGCCTCGCCACCACCACCACCGCCACCGCCTCCTCCGCCACCGCCGCCACTACCAC